ATCTTCTCCGTGTCTGCATAACATCTGGAGGGAAACCTGCTAAATCCCATTAACACCTAATCATTCTATGTTAACAGTAAACACTGAGTCTAGAGGGGTGATTGGGCCAGAATCTTGTTCCTTTAAGTTTGTGTCACCACAATGCTGGGCTTAAGAGGGAATAGCATTTTTCTTTACTCCAAAGATGAACACAGACACTCACCGATCATCCCACTTCACTACTGAGATCAGAATAGAATGTTGAACAAGACCTGACAGAGGGTTTGTAGGTAAGGAAATAATATACAGAGAATAACTTAAAACTGGCCTCTGGCTTTAGCGCCCTTTTAAAGCCCACCAGCCTCAGGATATCTTCATGGGGTCCCCTGACTTCGTGCCTCACTTCTTGGAGCCCAGGCTTATTATCACCCAAACACACAGGCTCTTCAGAGGCCAGCCTCAAAGGATCCCCACCTGGCAGGAGAAAGATGTTCCATCTCCTTCCTAAAGCCCACATTCCAAGACATCATCCCATCCTAAAATATGCCTCTCTCCTAAATGACTGACATTAAAATGTCCAATCTTTTCTTAAGATACAACATGCCTTTCCATTAGAGGGGATGATGGCCTTTATCCTCCAGTGTCCCCTGAAGCTTGAAATTGACTTGACAGAGTAGAGACCCTGTAAAAACTGACTAACATCACTCAGATCACTTTGCTTCCCTCAGCATAGAAGTGAGACAAATTTCACCACAAACCTTTGTTCCATGATAGAAACATGAAACAGTGTGCTCCTGGTGACTTTGATCCTTCCTTCTGCATCTTCCTTTCCTTTTTCATAGTTTTTAAAGGGAAGCACTTTGAGATGCACTTTTACTGGCTATGCGAATGATTTGCAGTTAATCATTATAAGGATTCTAGACCAGTGGAAAAATTACACAGCATATACTGATCCATTAACAATTAACTGGAACTTCGTGGAAATACGCAGATACTGGATACTCTTGCAGAGTGGTTTAAAATACAAGCTGTGGGATCAGGCTGACGTGGGTTAGAATCCTGCTCTGCCATGTCCCAGCCTCAGGCTTCAGCTTTGGGCCCTTAGGCAAGGCACTTAAATACAGCGAGCCTCAGTTTCCCCATCTAAGATGTGAGGATGATAGCACCACCTCTAAGAATTATCAGGACTGTTTGGAGGATTAAAGGATAGACAGCATGTGTAAAAGCTTGCCCTTAGCAAGTACTTGATAAATATTAGCTGCTATTATCATCCCATTGGCCCAAATACTGCATATTACCACTGATACTTGGGCATTTTCTAACAATCTAAGGGCACTCAAGACTTGTTCATTTATTTTTATTCCTCTATTTAATTATCCTATGAATTGTATAAGCTCAGTTACATAATAACTTTTTTATTATATATTCTACAGGAGTAGTAAGGCACAATGTTCATTTACACAATCACAAGCAGTCGGCACTGGGTCACTCAGACATAAATGTTAGCAATTTTAGGACAGAACTCATTTGCATGATACACAAGGTTTGCATTGCTGCTGTGACTCTGCAGACAAGTGTCTCAAAGCTGGCTTCCCCACCAATGGCATCAGAACCATAAAAAAAGCTTAAACAAAACAACAGACTTCTGTGGCTGTACCTCCCAAAATTCTGAATCAAAAGAGTTTGAGTTAAGGCCTGTGAATCTCAATTTTTGCAGCAAATCCTACACACTGGACCACTAGGGAGCTGCTGAATCTCTGTTTTTGAAATAGAGTGGGTGATGTTTACAAATGCACAACCAGGCTCTAAAATGCTGATGTAGAACAGAGCACAATCATTTTTGACTGGATTTGGGCAGCTGAGAATAGTGTAACCACAGTTAAAGCATGCTGACTTTTCTTAGACCCCAAAATTACCAATTAGGTGGTAGGTGTTGAGTTTTACAATAAAAAGCATTGCTTCAGGGTGGTCATGGTCTGAGAGAGCCATCAGCTTTCCCCAGCTCATGGATGACCTTGTTATCCAGCAGCTCCTTCTTCTGGTCGCTGGGTCTCACTGCGTTGTTCAGCATCGCTCTAACCACAGTCGTCACCGGCACAGAGAGCCCACTGGCCCAAGATTCTGGTAAGGAGCCAAAGAACTTCCTAACCAACCATTCACCTGGGCGAGATTCTTGCCTATCACATAACAGAACTCTAAAGAGAAAAAGGAAAGTGGAGGAAGAGACAATAAATTGCATTCAGACCACATGGGATGTTGTGGATTGAACTGTGTCCCCCCAAATTCATGTTAAAGCTCTAACCCCCAGTGTGACTGTATTTGAAGACAATGCCTTTAGGGAGGTAATTAAGGTTAAATAAGGTCATAAGGATGGGACCTAATCTGATGGACTGGTATCCTTACAGAAGAGGAAGAGGTA